GGCCCCGCCTCCCCCGCCGGGAGCGCCCCCGGGCCGCCCCCCGCCCGCGGGACACCCCCGGCACGGCCGCGGGTCGTGGGGTGCCCGACCAGGAGAGGGGGCAGCCCCGGCTCCCCGCGCCCGCCCGTCCTCACCAGCCTTGGCTTCGGCGCGCGGGGTTTCCCGGTGTTTTCCCTCCCGGCGCTTACCGGGACGGCGCTGTTCATCCCGCCCCTCGTGAGCAGCCGGGCAGGGCCACAGGCGCTCTGTGTCCATGTGCTGCACAGTAAGGACTTGGGCTGGAAGTAAGAAATCCTGTGTGTTGTAGGAACCGTTTTCTGGTCTGGGAACGTTTGGGGTTACAGGTGATAAACAAAAATAAAATACTTCATCACAGATGTGCAGCACCCCCAAATCCAATTTAGAAGATCACTGGAGACCTCTCCAGTTTCTGCACAGCATCCACAGTCCTCCCCAAACTGAGCTCTCCTCACCTCAGGCACAGACCCCAGGTATGACCCATCTACCCCTCTCTTCCAGATTCAGACTCTCCTCAAGTTTAGGGACAGCATCATCTGACCATGCCCAGCCAGAACTCTGGAAGGCAGATGCGGGTCAGTTATGTAAACATAAGTTGGGGGGGTTTTTTTAGAGCTCAGAGGAGGGTTAGTGGAGGAGGAAAAAGAAGGAATTCCTTAGATTTGTCCCGTTTGATTCTGGATATCTTTTGGCTTCTCACAAAGTGAGAAGATACAAATATTGGGATGGAGCTGTGCTTTACACACCCAGAGGTCAGCCAGCTATTCAAAGGAAATGTAACTTTAGCCACTTCCTGCCAGTGTCACTACACTGGGCTTCTCAATCTGTGCTGGTAAAACATCAACCACCTTAAAAGAGCCAAGCAAGTGAGGTCCTGCATTTGAAGGCTACAAAACCAAATGTACGTGCTTACTCAAGCTTCTCTTTATACCCACAGATCTGCCTAAAGAAATTCTGCAAGATTTGGAGCCCTGATTTTCTGTGAGGAAATTTTTCTTTTTCGGGCAAAAGTGAATCCTGCACCTTTTCAGTGTCATTTCAGCTGGAGCCTGAGAATGCACTGACTTGCAGAGCCAACAATCAAAGCTGGCTACTACTTGACTGCCCTGCCTTGGCAAACACCTGGTCCAATTCATGCTTTGTTGCCATCCTGGCAACAAACCAACCTGTGATGGTTCTTTGTGTACTTTTTTTACTTGTTTTATTGAGGATTAATTAGTGTTTGTATAGTGGCACAGCTGTCTGGTGCTCCATGGACACAGCTGAAGGCAAAGGCCTTCGGGCTATGCTGTGGTTTCCTAATTCCTGTGTTATGGCTAGTGTAATGCATATCCTCGAAGTGAAACAAACATTTCTGACTGATTTATGACTTTTGACTGCCAGTTTTCTTGTGCTAGAGGAAGGAGAGAAGAAGATGCAGTATCAAAATCAAGCTGCAATATTTCAAGTCCCCTGTTGATCACTTGAGGCTCTTGCACATGCTATGAAATTCACCAGAAGTCATCTCATGGAGCTTGATCTTTTATGCCTTGGAGAGCGCCATCCCACATTATCTCTCCATGTTCTTCTCACTGACTTCACCCTGCCATGAATCACAGGGCTCCTCATCCCTGCATACACTGCAGGCATGCCAGGCTATGTCTAACACAGCACAGGTCCCAGCCCAGGGTGCTTGTTTTCACTCAAATTACACATTTGATAACTTGCTTGTAAAGCACTTTGAAGATATGACACTAAGTGTTGCTAACACAAAATGGTATTGTTGGACAGGTTTAACAGGAGCAATTAAACAGTAATTCCATAAAAAAGGTGTGAGGTAGAAGGTTAAAGGTAGAATTAAGTCATATATGCCTACTTTGTATCCAAATCTTCAGGCTGTTGATTACTTGGACTGACACTGAAAATAAGCTTCCATCTCTTTTTACACACAGCCTTCCAGCTAGGAACTGCTAAGGCCCTGTGCTCAGACCCTAACTGCTTTGACAGGTACATGGGTGCTGCCAGCAAGGATAGCAAGTGGCTGACACGGATCAGGCTTTGTGGAAGGTGAAGGTCTGGAAGCTGTGAGAGTCGGGCTCTTGCCTGCTGTCTGCTGCTGTCCAAAATGAGCTGGATGGATGCACAGAGCACTGGGGAAAAGCCCTACAGAGCAGCACTGTCAGGCAGTGATGAATATAACTGCAGTGGGGATGAGGAGCCCTCACAATTCCCATTAAATTCCCTTTTGAAAGAGGATTTGATCAGTTCAGCAGTGATGCTTGCCTCACCACCTTCCCACACCACCCAGAATGGCCAAGTCACAGAGCTGTTTCTTGTACAAGGCATCCAGGCAGTGATTGTCCCCTGTGCTGGGCACTGGTGAGGCCACACCTCAGATCCTGCGTTCAGTTTTGGGCCCCTCACTACAGGAAAGACATTGAGGGGCTGGAGCACAAGTCTGATGAGGAGCAGCTGAGGGATCTGGGGGTGCTTAGCCTGGAGAAAAGGAGACTCAGGAGACCTTACCACTCTCTACAGCTCCCTGACAGGAGGCTGTAGCCAGGTGGGAATCAACCTCTGCTCCCAGGGAACAGGTGACAGGATGAGAGTAAACTGCCTTGAGTTGCACCAGGGGAAGTCTACATTGCATATTAGGAGAAATTTCTGTACTGAAACAGTTGTGAGGCATTGGAATAGGATGCCCAGGGAAGTGGTGGAATCTCCACCCCAAAGTGTTCAAAAGAGGTGTGGATGTTGCACCTGGGGACTTGGTTTAGTGGTGGATGTCATGGTGCTGTGTTAACAGTTGGACTCAATGATCTCAGAAGTCTTTTCCAATCATAATTGGAAGATTGGTCTATAGGTCCCACGGGGATCAACAGCATGAGCTTCATGGCAGGATATTCCTTCCATAATGCAGAATTTGCATATCTAGATTCCAGCACTGGAAGGAGATCAAATGTCCCCACATCCCAGCACCAATCTGGATAAAGCGTTAACTCTGAATGATTGCGATGGCTGTGTAAACTAGTTTTGTTTGGATACTCCAAGTTATGTTTGCTCTGCAGTCTGCCAGGAGAAACCTTTGGCTTAGTGACCCTCCTCTTTCCCCTGTGTGCAACCCCCTGTGTGGTGCTGGCACAGTGTGTGTGCTGGAGCTGGGGCTGGGAACCAGATGAAAGTTAGCCCTGAAGAAGAATACTTTGTTTTGATCTGGATTGCTCCCAGGGTTTGATTGTGGTGTGGACACACAAAGAGGTATGTCAGCACAACAGAGGGGGCAGCAGGATCTAGCACAGGGACAGGAATGCACGGCAGAAGCTGGAGCTGGGAACAGAACGACACTAAGCAAGAAAATAAGGGATCAGCACTGGGCCAGAAACATCAGCCTCAGTGCCCAGCTGCTCTCTGCTCGCCCCATCCCTTGCAGGAGAGAGAAATGGGAAAGGGGAAGAAGGGGTGAGAGTAGAAACTCACTTTTGGACTTTCCAAAGGACCATCCACTCTGCTGGTGGAGCAATACGGCTGCAGTTTTGCAGGCACCCTTTTTGGTGGCAGCGATTCGATGGACCAGTCAGGTTATGCTCCCTTTGTTGTGCTGGTGCAGCTCTTTGTGCTGTTGTGTTGTCAAACAGACCAGGAAACTGCATAAAAAAAGCAGCACCCTCCCCTCCTCAGTTATTTTTACCCTGGCTCAGTTCCCAGACACAATTCACCTTGTCTCCACTGAGGTGCAACTGGAGGAAGAGTGCTGGAGTGGGAAAGTATAGCCAGAAGCAGTAGAACAGGGCTCTGCCTAAACCCACGGTGCCTCTCAAAACAAGCCCGTGGCTCAACACCTTGGGGAGAGTTTCCCTTCAGCAGTCACAGCCAGCTTGTTTGTCAGAATTAGAGAGATCAAAAAAGAGGAAAGGAAGGTTGAATCCATGCAGGCACGTGCGACATTTGCATACTATTTTCCTCTGGAAAACATAAAAGGAAATCTGACAGTAATCATGTTAGAAATGCTCCCTGTTCCCCTCCCATTTGATCTAAGCTCTGTGTGTGACACTGACCCTGGCATGTAAGACGGCTCCAGCCGACCTCCGACGCTGCCTCCAGCACCCGGCTGTTTCTGCTGAAGTCAGTGGAAACACTTTGATAGTTACAGGTGCCCATGCCTAAATGCTCTGTTAGGTCACCAGCTAATTTTAGGATGGAGGAGCACAGTTCCAAAAGAGAAAAGTAGGTTAATAACACTTAAGTTGCAGCAAATCTGTAGGAAATCTCCTGGAATACGTCCATAATTAGCAAATCTGTACTTCCCAAAGAAGAAATCCTCACCTTTTCTTCAGTTCCTTTTTTCCCTTGATTTTGCCTGTGGATTGTGATTCCTGTGGCTAAAACAGGATGAACTGAAGACTTCTACACTTAGAGATTAGTACTTGAACCTTATGGCAGCATTCAGGAGCCATGCACTTACATCTTTCTATACAGGATTCCATTAGGGATGTGTTTACTGTTTTAAAGTGAACAGTGCTGGTGTGAACTCCCAAATTTTTCAGAGCTAAGGCACTGGATTCTGCTCAGAGAGAGGCACATCCCAAGTCAGCCTCCTGAGGACAGGGACCTGCCATCTGAACTGTGCAGGGCTCATTTTGCTCCATTTGTAACACAGGTATTGTGCATGAATAAAGGTTTCCACCCTGTTTTCCCACCTCCCAAAGTGCACCAGCTTCTCAGTTACAGGTGAGGAGGGTTTGTTACACAAAGAAATGGAATTTCAGGTTTCACCCTGAAAATCAAAATTCGAAGGTGATCATCCCTAACTCTAATTCCATTTTAGTGGGGCTTTTTGGATTGCAGGTTGTCTTAGGTTGCAATGCAAGATGTAACCAGGAGTATGTATTCTATCACCAGCTGTTAAAACCAGGTGGGGCAGTTTGCTTTATCTCTTCCAGGACCCATTCACCCTACAGGGAGATATCTTCTGTTAATGGGCCAGTGAGTGTCGCTGATAAAATTCCATCATCCCATTGGGAGATGCTCTGCCCAGGGGGAGGAGTCAAGCATTCCTACCTGGGTAAAACACTGGGGGAGTTTGTTTCCACTGGATTCCCAGAGGAAGACCAGGCCCATCTACACCACCACTGGACCTTTAGAGGAAAACTCCACCCTTCTACAGGATCCCTGCTCCCACAGAACCACAGCTGTCACTGCAGGAGATCTGCGGCCACCACTGAATAGACCTGCTACCAACACCCTGACCCACAGGGTGTCAGGTTGTATTTGACTCAGTATTTTTTTGTATTACTGCATTTTAATTTTAATTTTCCTAGTAAAGAACTGTTATTCCTATTCCTGGGAGATGCTCTGCCCAGGGGGAGGAGCCAAGCATTCCTACCTGGATAAAATTTTGAGATTTGGAATACTGGGGGAGTTTGTTTCCACTGGATTCCCAGAGGAAGACCAGGCCCATCTACACCACCACTGGACCTTTAGAGGAAAACTCCACCCTTCTACAGGATCCCTGCTCCCACAGAACCACAGCTGTCACTGCAGGAGATCTGCAGCCACCACTGAATAGACCTGCTACCAACACCCTGACCCACAGGGTGTCAGGTTGTATTTGACTCAGTATTTTTTTGTATTACTGCATTTTTATTTTAATTTTCCTAGCAAAGAACTGTTATTCCTATTCCCATATCTTTGCCTGAGAGCCCCTTAATTTCAAAATTATAATGATTTGGAGGGAGGGGGTTTACATTTTCCATTTCAGTGGAGGCTCCTGCCTTCCTTAGCAGATACCTGGCTTTTCAAACCAAGACACAGGTATTTACTGAGGGTATTTACCTCTAACCTGTCTAAGTCCTGCTTCAGGTACTGAAGTGCCTTTGTGGATCCCACTTGAAACCTTGCACTCCTGATTGACTTAGTGGGCTCAGCAGACTGTGTTTTAGAGATCTGTTGGACTCCTGATAAGATCAGGTCAAGCTTTTACAGACTTTCAGGAGCCTGTAAGACCTTGACCCTAACTTATCAGTAAATTCAGGCAAGGTTTTGGATTCAGAATCCCCTTATCTTAAACCATTTATCCACTTTTTTCACTTACATTAGTGAGTCTAACAAAAAATAATACCCCTTCTGTCCTTGGACTGTCACAGCTGCAGCCCTTGTGTTTATAAGAGCACTGTAATGAGCCTGCAGTCGAGACCACACCAGTCTTGTCAGCTTTGCCCTGGTGCTCCAAGGCTGGCTGGTGCCTCCCACGCACTCTGTATCTCACCAGCAGCTTGGCATCTCACTTCTGGCTCTATTTCTCAGAAGTTATGTGAGAGAAACCTGCCAAGAAACACACTCAGCTGACCGCAGCAGAAGCTTGAGAAACACAGCGTAGTGGTCAAATGCCAGGTCTGGATTCTGGAACCCACAGATGGATGAGGGAATAACAGCAGCTGGACAAGCAGCTGCAAGCTCAGGTGCTCGTGAAACAAAACTGAGCAGCAGAAGGCAAGCAAGGGCTTGGGCATTTTCCTCTTGCTGGCCTCCTCTCACCCCTGAAGCACTTTCACTGAGGCTCAGACAAGACCTGCAGTAGTTTCACTTTGAGCAGTGTTTTAATCCCCTGAAAGCCTTTCCTTTCCTTGCCACCTCCAAGAACGGAAAGGAAATGAAGAGAAAAAAAAAAGCTTTCTCTATAGTTGCAGGTATTGATAGTTCTAGGACACACCTGGGCTGAGGACTGCACAAACCACATCAGGACATGGAAATACTGGATGAGGCACCCCTCTCACCCCTGCATGGCCAGGGCAAAGCTCCCCTGAGCAGCTCTCAGGCAGCAGCAGTTTGCTTTGCCTCTGCTTCCCCTGCAACACTGACATATCTTGGGTGGCTACAGCCCATTTTCAACCATCATTCAGTGGAGAACAAAAAAGCTCTCAAGGGTAGGAAGTGGGGCTAAGGCTTCTTTGGAAGCAGGATTTAGTAATCCCAGTTGCCACCTTTAAAAATCAGTGCCCTTGGGCCCCAGCCAGCCCTCAGCTCTGTCAACATCTTTACTGCCAACTTTACTAACAGTCACACAAATGTAAATCTACTGTGAGAAGAGGATTAAGCCCATTCTGGTTTTATGGCCTATGAAATGTCTTCTGCCCTGCTGTCACTGTGCAGTGATACATAACACAGAAAAAGGGAATTCAGGCTGCTCCTGTGTCTCCAGAATTTTAAAGGAAAAAAATGTAATTCCAGAAACTTTACCAGCCAGTAAAGTGCAAATGCAGACAAGGGTTTTTCTAAGGCAGAAGCTAAAGGCCTGTACCTTGCCAGATGCTGGTTGAAATACTTTTTTTTTTTCCTGAAAATAAGATTATCAACAGCAATTTTCCATGCATTCAA